CGCGAGATCACCCTGTGAAGTATCCTCTTGATTCTGCTTGCCAGGACCCGCGCCAGCACCTTGTAACTTATGTTTAGCAGCGTGATGGGGCGGTAATTCTCCAACTGCTCCTTCTCTCCTTTTTTATGCAGGAGGATCGTTACCGCGTCCTTGACGCTGGTCGGAAGCGAGGAGGTGGACGTGAAGTCCTGGACCAGTGCCATGACGTGCTTCCCTAGCACATCCCAGTGCAGCTCAAACACTTCCTTCGGCAATCCATCCTTTCCCAGCGTTTTATTGCAGGCCATTTCCTTCAGCGCTTGCCTGACCTCTTCTTCCGTCCAGTCCCCGTGCAGGCTTTCCGCTTCGGAGTATAGCAGCTTCTTCCTCGCCACTGGGCTCCAGTCTGATACTGCCGTACGCTTGTCCTCCCCGAAGAGACTACGGAAGTAGTCCGACACCGCTTCCAAGACCCGCTTCGGTTCCGATACCACTCCAGCCCGTCACTGCTACCTCCGCTATCTGCGTTCTGGGTTTCCGCGTCTATTCTCACCGACAGATGCGGTGAGGGGACCTCTCCTGACAGCGCCAACTCCATCCCAGCCATGGTATGCATTCTGTCTCGTCGGCATGCAAAATACTCTTTAAGTTGCTGCTCTCTCTTCCTCAGCTGCTCTTTCAACGCTTGATCTTTCGGACTCCGCATGAACTCTTGACGCAAGGCAGCCACTGCCGTAGTAAGATGAGCAATGGTTGCCCTGATCCTTTTGCTCTCCTCTTTTGCATAGGACCGTAAGCTGGCGTTCAGGCGAGAGATGAGGGTCGCGAAACTCTCTCCAGACCGATCAACCTCCTCTATCCTTTTCTTAGCCCTCGGCCTGTGCAGCAATGAAGGATGAAAACGCCAAATCCCCGGCCCCAGCTGCAACAGCGATTTGAGTTTGAAAGCAACACGGACGGCAAAGCCATGATCAGAGACTGGTTCATCACGCGAGACATGAGTTGCTGACACCAGGCACAGAAGCAAGGACTGAGAGACCAGTGCTCGATCAATCCTTGAGCTCTCTTGATGCGCCTGTGAGTAAAAGGTAAACTCCTATTCGAAGGGGTGAAGGGAGCAAAAGGCGTCCGAGATGTCAAAGGCTTTACAGTGGTGGTGGAGAAAGTCATTTTCTTTGGTTGAGCCATGCCTAGAAGTCTTGTGAAGCAGTGGGTTCTCAATAGTGTTAAGGTCCCCTAGGATGAGCAGGTGAGTGCCTGGCTGGATGAGGCTTAAAATTGGGCCAAGTACAATTCTGATAAATGCTCCTTTTTCCATTTTGTCTGCAAGGAGGTAAGTCGCTATCAGGGTAGTGGATTTGTTCACCGGCTGAGAACTGCAACTCCTCCAGCTCGGGTCACAGATGTGGTGGCAGCAAAGGCGGTGAGGTTAAGAGAAGACCAGTAAGTGTTATCATCTGCTACTCGGGTATCTGACAAGACCATTACATCAGCTCCTTTCTTGCTGCTAATCCATGCCGTTGTACGTTTCCGCTTCGTGAAATCCCCCAGGCCGTTAACATTCAGGCCCGCATTCCGTTATGTGCTGGTTGACTTGTTGAATGAAACGCCGTTTCTTGTCTTCGGGATGCGGTACCACCAGCCCCTTGATAACCCCTGTGTTGGCTCCAGATACCAGATGCACAACTCGGTGGAAACAGTGACTCTCCAGAAACGGCGTGACTTGACTGACTTTCAGCTTAAACTTTACCAACAACTCCTCAACAACCTCCGGTGTGATACTCGCATGTATGTCCTTGAAAACCACTTCGACAGCACGCTGATTAATAGCTTTTTCCTTCGCAAACGCCGCATTCTCAGCGTGCAGCCAATGTAATGTATATGATGCTCCATTCGGCTTCTGATACTCCAGAGATGCTTGACGCACTTTGGTTGCATCTTCTTCTTTCAGAAATGATAACTGAATGCGGCTATACTTGGTTTTTGCGACATATGCAGGATTGATGTCCTGAAAGTCAACCAGGGTGTTAGCGCCATCAGAGAACAAGGAAGACCGGACGCGCTTCAGCAGCAACTGCACGGTTAAGATGACCGAGGACATCTCTGGCTGAAGAATGAGCGGAAGAAGCAGGATAGCCGTGTGACGAATCTTCGCAGCGGTTGGACAACTCAAACTCCAGCTCATCGTCCGAGTCATCCTCCGTGAACTCATCATCATCAACATTGTCATGCGCCAAGGTGAGTGCAGCCACATCATCATCAATCCTTCAGTGATATACCAGAGCTCCCTGCTATCAGAGTGACCGGCTCATGATCCACCACATTCTTCCCCTTGTCCTTAGGCATTGTAGCAGCAGACGAAGCAGCAGAATGCTTCGGCACCAGAGGTTTTCGTTCCTTTGGAGGCGCACGCGGCATGGCGCAATGATGAGTGATATCCAGCAGCAGGAGACTTGCAAAGGCCTGAAATGCCTGAAGTGCTGAACACCTGAGCCCAGTAAAATATAGTCATGACGTTCCTCCGTCAATCCAATATTCCTGGTGTAGATGATGTGTCGTTGCTGACATAACCAAAGGATGGTTGTCCGTAGCCTTGAGAACGCCATGAAATAAGAGTAACCAAACACGATCTCGCAGTGAGAGCTCTTGGAAAGCACGATGGACTGATGTCAGGATAGCACGTAATAAAGCCTTGAGATTGTATAGACGAAAGAACCTGAGCAGCAGATCCCGAGAAGCTTTTGGTACGATGTCCGCTTGATGGACATAAAAGGTGTACCAATCGATTCGTCTCGATAAGGCGAGTACAAAGCCGTGGTTCTTAAAGCCAACTGATAACTCTGCTTCACGAAATGCCGGATTGAACACCCTGAAAAAATCCATGGCGGCGAGCTCAAGGGTCATGATTGCTGTAAAAGCTGTGTGGCTTAATTTCTCATTGAGTCTCCCTATTGCTGTTTAAGTTTACATTTTTACATACACGTTTTTATTTCGAAGGCAGCTGTGCTCTGTAGGAAATCACGCAATGGCGCGTTTCAGCCTTATCGTTTTCTGCTTCATTTCCGTCAAGTCGAGACGGAATCCGTCGACGGAGACGGATTGTCTCGACGGGAAAAGGGTTCGAGGGGGGAGCACGTGCGGTCAACGCCAGCTCGAGCGGGGACCACCTCGCGTCACTCTGAGCTGGCAGGGCTCATTTCGGGCGAGCGGGGTGGCTGCCTCCCTGCCCTCGCATGCCCCGCCCGCTGCGACTGTGGGAAAAAGGAAATCCCGCGAGAGAAATCCCGCAGCGGCAAAGGGGGGTTCTCGGAGGGATCTGGCCGATTTCTTCCCAAGTACTAGTACCTCCTAATCCTCCGATTCCTTTTTACGCCTTGTCGTTCCAATCGCATTTTCTCATTTTGGCATCCAAGATGGAGACTCCTACGAGCATCCACAGTCTGCCAGACGATATTCTCCTTATGATCATTACGCGCTCCTTCAAGCAGCCCGCTTCCTGCGAATCCTACGTTGACAGCGTCTGGACCTCCAATTCTATTTATTGGTCGCTTTCCGATGAGTATTCAAATCAAACAAATGTGATAGTCAAGACGCCAGTGCCAGCTTCTCCTCCAGACTCAGACGTGACTCAAGATCTCTTCATCGCGGCGTCTGTCTGCAGTCGTTGGCGCCGCGTGATGAAGCTTCACGTGACCACGCTACTCGTTAAAGAAGGCCTCGCGGTATCTTGCGAAGATGTCTCAGCTGCCGTCGCGTGCTTCCCGAACCTCACTCATCTGCATCTGAGCGACAACAGCATCGGCGAGGCCTTCCTCGCTCACCTCGCTGATTCATGCCCGAAGCTCTCTCGCCTCCACGTGGGGAGGACCTTTGCACTACCGTGTAACGAGGGCGACGGATTTCCTGTGTACCATTATCGCAGGAGGGAGAGGAATCGTATAAGTACGGAGGGATTGGGTTTGTTCATCCAGAAGCTCCCGGACTTGAAGCAGCTTTCCCTCTTCTGCCTCCCAAGAGGAACAAAGTTACCAGACTCAATCTTCCAGCTCAGACATCTGGACTGCCTTGTTGTCAATAACACTTCACTGTTGGAGAGTCCAGGTTTCGAAAACCTCACTGCGCTCACCTCTGCGTACATCACAGTCCCCATCACCCGTCAGCACTTGTCCAAACTCCTCCACCTCCCGCGATTGGCCCATCTTTCCACCTTCACCCCGCGCTCTAACCATCAGCCGACGTGTGCCGCAAGCGTGCCGCTGCCGTCGTGCATTAAATCTCTCGAGTTCTTAACGAACTGTCCTTATGAGGACGCCATGGTCTTCTCATCAGCATGGCAGTTCGCGGGGCTAGAGGAGCTGCTCATCACCGGCTGCAGAGGGTTAGAAACCCTTCCAGACTGCATCGGAGAATTTATGCCGTGCCTTCGCAAGCTGATGGTTCGCAAATGCGGTGATTTCACTCACCTGCCTGAAACCGTCACTCTTCTGAGCCTGGAAACTCTCATCATCTCAGGTTGTTACGAATATAATACCTTACCCAGCAGCTTCGATCACCTGCCCGCTTTAAAACTCCTGGTGCTGGAGCATCTGCCTTTAATGGCACTCCCGCCTTCATTCTCTCATCTTACGACTCTGGAAGCACTCTTCATAATTGAGTGCAGGGAGTTTTGGCAGGTGCCAGCAGATGCCTTGTGTCTCACGGCTCTCAAGGTGCTCTGCTTCTCAGAATCGAATCAGGGTCTTGCCTTGCCAGAGAATGTTGGGGGCCTTGGCAGCTTGGAGGCTCTCAGGTTGCATGGCTGCCGGCTTCCGGCTTCCTTCACCACCCTCTCCTCCCTCACAAGCCTTGATCTGAACAAATGCTGGCCAGCCGAGCTTCCAGAAGCCTTGGGGGAGCTGAGCAGTCTACAGGAGCTGAAGTTCGTTCACCTTTCAATCAGCCAGCTTCCTGGCTCTCTAACACGGCTTGCTGCACTTCACACCCTCGAGGTCAGAAACTGCAACTCGCTCTCGGAAGTACCCATGGGGCTGGATGCGCTCGTGTGGCTGAAGCGGCTGGAGCTGACGGGATGTCGGCAGCTGAGTGAAGCCCCTGCTGGTCTGCCCCCCTCTCTTGAGACTCTCTGCTTGGGGCCCTTCCGGGAAGGCTCTTCCCTTGGTGTGGATATTTCCAAGCTATCACAGCTGAGGGTGCTGAAGCTGAAGTGCGTTGGGGTTGTATGTGGGCATGAGCGGCCGAGAGGTTGTTGGTCCTGGGACAGCAGGGGCCGATTCAGCAGCTGGAGCAGGAGTTTGAAGGAGTAAGCCAGGCGTGCCTGAATCAGCTGGAGGAGCTCGAGATGCGTCTCGAAGGAATGAGTCAGGAGTTCCTGCTTCCCTCATATGTTCTTCCTCGCCTGCGCAGCTTGCTGATAGACGCGCCGGGAATCCGCAGCCTCCCGGTAAACATGGCAGCAGCGTTGCCAGAGCTACGGCAGCTGAAGCTTCTTTCATGGGTGCCGGAAGAGCTGCCACGCGTCATACTAGAGCTCTCAAAGCTGACGTCATTGACCATCCATGCACCACAGCTCACTTCACTACCTGAGGGCGTGAGCTGCTTGTCCCGGCTGCGCAAAGTGGAGTTGATTCGCTGCACCGCCTTGCAGCACCTCCCGGAGAGCCTCACCCACGTGCAGCAGCTGGTGCTGCTGCAGGACACCTCCCTCCCCTCCCTTCCTGCGGGTCTGGTGCAGCTGCGTCCGCTGGAGGACTCGCTTGCTGCTGAATGAGGCCGTTGTGGCTGCGGTGCAGGTGGGTGGGGTGCAGGTGGCTGCGGTGCAGGTGGGTGCGGCACACACTTATGGAGCAGGTGGGGGCAGAGGTTGGTTCCCCTGTTTATATTCCAGGCTACCATCTGTCCTGCCGTACTTTTTCTCCTTTACCCCCACTGGCGGCATCCATTGATCCTACCCATGACCGTGCCTCTCTTCGACTGTGCGCTGTTTCAGGCAGCATGCATTGCCTCATTTCAGCCTTCATCTTCCTTCGTCTTCCCTGCCCTGCCTTGTCTTGCCTGCCCTGCCTTGTCTTCCCTGCCCTGCCTTGTCTTGCCTGCCCTGCCTTGTCTTGCCTGCCCTGCCTACCCCGCCTGTCATCACCTCTCCCTCTCTGCACGCCCGATTCAACAGGTGCACAGTGCCAAGATCACCACTCTCATCACCGCCTCCCTCTCTTGGCGGTTTCTCCACTTACCGTATCAGCTTTCATCATCCTCGCCCTCCGCATCAGCGAGTATCTCCCGCTGCTCAATGATGGCAATGCGTGCCATTTCTGCTGCTCACGGAATCACGGATGCTGCTGACTGCACGTCTGCTGCACAGTTTCATCCTTCCTCCTTACTGATTTCTGAGTGTCACGAGTCGTGTACTTCTGAGCAGCAGTTTGCTTTTCTGTTGCTTAGGAGTGGCGGCATGCCCGTCATTACCATTACCTATGGATCTCTAGCGCATGTGACAAAGTTAGCATTAAGCCGAGACCGTTTTGTTTCAGATTGCACCTGGTGGATGTATGCACTATCAATTTGGTGTTTGTGGTCTCGGACTAGTCTACATGTCCATCCGGCACCGCACCGCACCATGACACATCTGCACTGAAGGTGCGATGCAAGGCTGCATGGTGCAACGGTGGAAGGCAGAAGTAGAATAAGTGGCAGTAACTTGCAAGTAGAATAAGTGGCAGTAACTTGCAAGTAGAATAAGTAGCAGTAACTTGCAAGTAGAATAAGTGGCAGTAACACTGCCATAGCATGGAAGTGACCTCAGTGGGATATAGCTTTGTGTCGGGTCAGCATAAGTATGCTCAATACAGTACCGGTACCTCCGCTCAGCTTCCTTTTCACCCTCCCTTATGGAGCTCGTCTATTTGCCTTGCCTGCGCCACCTCCACTCCTCCCTCTCCCCCCTCCCTCTCCCTCCTCCCTTTCCCTCGTTCCATCCCCCAACAAACATTCCGTATTCTCCCGGACAAAACACCCCCCCATAATTGTACACCCCCGGGTAGCTTGTGCGGGGTGGGTGTTATGGGGAGCCTCGTTTCTACTATACCCCCCTTTTTGCCTGATTCTCTATAAGACCCGGGGGGGGGGGTGTTATGGGCGGCAAAAATACTGAATTTGCTTACTGTACATTGCATACAGGGTACTTTACAGGTACCGGTACTACAGAAGTAATGTGCCAGCACATAGGCATCGACAATGTCACCTAGACTGCAGAAACATCACCACAAGAGCACCTCACATCCACAATTTCACCCCAGAAACTCTATACAAAGTGCCTTCTACTCAGAATCGTCTCCTGCATGCCATTCTTCACAATCTTCCCCGTCAAAGCGGCCAGGGCGCCACCATTCGTCATCGCTGGGCTCTTCTGCCTCCCCGCCTTCCTCAAGCACGCCCCCCTCCTCCTCTGCCGCCGCCGCTTCCGCGTCCTCCTCAGCGGCGTCAGCCTCCTCTGCCGCCGCCTGCAGCACCTCGGCCGGCATGGGGACTTCGGCGTAGAAGGGGTTGACGACGAGCTCGTCGTCAACCAGGTCGCTGACGTCGTCAAGGACTTCCACCTCACCCTTGTCCCGCATGTGGGCAAGGATGAGGTGGTCCTCGCTGCCATCGATGGGGGTGGAGATCCCACACGTGACGAACGCCTTCTTCACGAGCTCCCCTGGGATTGCTTCCCAGGACTCATCGATCCAGCGGAGCACCAACTCCGCTGGCGGCTTCTTGAGATTGCCTGAGGGACGGGGAAGGATAGACAAGGACGAATGTGAATTTCCAGAGCGTAAGCTGACATTGATTAAAAGTCACGCATGCGAATGTCATGGTTCAACTCACCGGCCTTGGTGGTGGTGTTGATTCCTTCTTCTTCGAACCAGCTGCTGTAGCGATGACGCACACCGCACTTGAACGCGCGGTTGATCGACACATCCAGAGGCTGCACTAGCGGAGTGCAGCCCCCTGGGATGACAGCCCGTGACAGCCGAAACATCCGCATGGTCTGCCCGACCGCCTCAGTCAAGTGGCCGCGGTAGGAGTCGAGCACAACCAAGGCCTCCCTGCGGCGTCCAGTTGATTCACGCAAGGGCTTCAGAAACGGCACCATCACCTGGGTGATCCAGTCCTGCACAAGTGATTCGTCCATCCACCCTTTGTCTTGTGCACGGACCACCACACCTGCCAAAGAATACCGGTACGCCAGGGTCAAATTCGGTTGCGACTGTTGACAGGCTAGAGTAGTGACATCATCCTAAACGTGCTACGCTTACCGGCAGGGATGGGCACCTTCGGTATGGTCTTGCGCTTGAACACCACGTACGGCGGCAGCTTGAGCCCGCTCGCAGTTACTGCCAGCATGACAGTAACACGCTCCTTCTCATAGCCCGCACTCCGTACGTGAACTGTCCGCGCTCCCTTCATTTCGAGCGTGCGCTCCGCCGGCATCTCCAGGAAAAGCGGGGTTTGGTCCGCGTTCAAGATGAGGTCAAGCGGGTAGTCGTGCAGAGAGCGCATCTGGCGCACAAACTCCCAGAAGGACTCCACCTTGGCCTTGCAATCTGCAAGCAAAGCCACGAGACACATTCTGAGATGGCAATCAAGGAGCACGACGGCGCAACACTTACCCGCTGCCAACTTCTGTCCCATCTTCATCTTCACCCGCCTCGCCAGATGCCAGCGCGCGCGGAAACGAGTCGCCCAGCGGAACGATGCGCGCCAGTTGACCCCGGGCATCCGCTGCTTCATGTACTTGGCGCTCCACTTCTGGAGCATGCTGACCGAAACGGCGAGCCCCCTCCCCCTGTGCTTGAGGAACTGGCGATAGACCGCCCGTTCCATGAAAGGGAACTTGGACTTGCGGCCAGCTCCCATGAGGCGACGACGGCAGCTGGAAGAGACCTCCAGCCGCTCCCTCATCTTCTTCCAATCGCGGATCTGGCATGGCTGCACCTTCGCGAGCTTCGCCAGGGCGCGATTCGACAGGTCGGGCTGCGAGTCCTGCATCTTCAACCAGTGGAGCTTCTCCTTCGCGGTGATTCCCTTGCGCTGGCGTTTCGTCATGCGATGGCGAGGGGATGGCGGGTCAGCATCGGCGTTGCGCTTCTGCTGTCCCTGCGGGTGGTTCCGCTCCGGGAACGTGGGGACAACCACTCGAGGAAGGGTAGGGCGAGGACGGTCCAAGCTACTGCTCGGTTCATCCCTGGTAGAAGCACTACCGGGAGCATCCGGCTGAGGAAAGATCGGGCGAGGAGACGTCCGTGCGCGTGCATAAGCGCTAGTCTGATTGGTGGAAACAGGCCGCTGCCGCCTATCTACCGTACTGCTAGAATCTGGAGATGAAGCCATGCTTGGGAACTAAGGCAGGTCGATGTCACTCGCCATGGGAGAAATTACTTTAAAGACGATACCCTCGTGCACAGGAAGGAGACGCTCTCACAGCCTGCCGAGCACTTGTCAAAGACGTGCACTGGAACCGCTTGACGAAGAGAAGAGCAAGCTTGGGTGAGGAAGCTTGGACATGACTACCGTACACGGCAGTCAAGGGGTCACAGGTACAGTGACAACACAGCACCGTGCGCGATTCCGGCCTCGTACTGCATGAACCCAAGCTGCGCGAGGTTGGCACTGATGTCAACCAATCAGGTGGCACAGTGGGCCCACTGGAATTTGCCATGTGGCAGATTCCAGTGGAGGCCGACGTTATCCTCGTAGACGCGGTTTGGCGGCCCTGATTTTAAAAATAATAACAAGGCCAGACCCCTGCTTTTGTTTCCATTCATTTCTGCTTATAAAAAAATGTGCAATATAATAAGACCCGGGTATTATGTATTTTTTTCCTATGAGGAGACCCCCCCCATTTTTTCCCTGTATTTTTAGCTATACCCTAGGGTGTTATGTCCGGGAGAATACGGTTCTTCAAGGCTGCACAGTGTCAGAATGTGTAGTTTGTCTAGCATGCAGTGGGGTACTCTATAGTGAGTACGGCCCCTTAGGGTTTCCTATATGTATCCACCTGCTTGCTAGTGCAACCTCTCCTTTGCTTATTCTCTCTTGCCTAGCTTGCTAGCTATGGCTACTGCGTTCTAACCGCTATTGTGATATGGTATCTGAGCGATTATGCTCCTGGCCTGTGGGCCCACCGTTTGCTTCCGCTGCCACTACTGTACTGTCTGTCGCGCGCCCCGTGGCGCGCGACGATTTTTTCTTCCCGCCACGCGCTCGGGGCGCGTGACGGTTTTCTGCCCGCCGCGCGCTCGGGGCGCGTGGCGGTTTTCCGCTCCGTCGCGGCGCCCCGGAGGCCCGCGCGCCACCCCCTCCCGTCGCCCGTCGTGGCGCCCTCGTGGGCCCGCGTGCGACCCCCTCCCGTCGCCCCGTCGCGGCGCCCTGGGGGCCCGCGCGCGGCCCCCCTCCCATCGCCCGTCGTGGCGCCCCAGGGGCCCGCGCGTCCGCCCCTACCGTCGCCCGTTGTGGCGCCCCGGGGGGTCCGCGCGCCGTCCCCCGCGCTGCTGCCCGCGCTCCTGCCCCGTGCTGCCCGTTTTAGGGTTTGGGGGTGGCGAGTGTGGGGGTGGCGGGTATGGGGGTGACGGGTGTGTGCGCCGTCCCCTGCTCCTCCTCCTCCTCCGTCTCCCACTGCTGCAGCTGTCGCTGAGGGGGGTGGGTGTGTGGGAGCCGAAGGAGTGGTGCTAGGGGGGTGTCGTGGGAGTGATGCTAGGGGTGCAGCGGGAGGTGTGAACGGGAGTTTTGGGACAAAGGGGGAGGTTGAAAGGGGGTGGCCGCCGTGAAGCCAGCAGCTCCAGTCGCCCGTGAGACCGTTGCGCCAGTCGCCCGTGAGCCCGTCACTCCAGTCGCCCGTGAGCCCGTTGCTCCAGTCGCCCGAGAGTCAGTTGCTCCTGCCGCTCGTCTAGCCGTAGAGCCAGTTACTCCAGTTGCCCGTGTGCCAGTTGCTCCAGTTGCCAGTGTGCCAGTTGCTCCAGTTGCCCGTGTGCCAGTTGCTCCAGTTGCGCCGTGTGCCAGCAGCTTCAACTACCACCCACTATCTCCTCTCCTCTCATAGTCCCTCCTCCTCCTCACTAGCCCTCTGTGATAGCCTTTAGCTTTGCTTATATTTGTGAACTATAAACTGCTGCTTGTTGTGCTGATCATACCCCACTTTGACTATGGGGGTGTGTCAGAATGTGTAGTTTGTCTAGCCTGCAGTGGGGTACTCTATAATGAGTACGGCCCCTTAGGGTTTCCTATATGTATCCACCTGCTTGCTAGTGCAACCTCTTCTTTGCTTATTCTCTCTTGCCTAGCTTGCTAGCTATGGCTCCTGCGTTCTAACCGCTATTGTGATACACAGCACATCGCTGCACACGAATGGGCCTGGGCAGTTTGTCCCATCTGGGGAAGGTGGGTGTGCCCAGGTGCTCACAGCTGGAAGGGGTGCTGCAACTGCTGGGAAAGGATGACGTGATTCTAGTGAAGGGCGTGTGGTAGGTGTTGGGCTGAAGAAGCCCTTAGGATCTTTGCAGGACTAAACTCCTGGTAGGACTGGTGTAATAGCGGAAGCGTTTAATGAAAGGTTGTGAACCACCTTGCGCTGGTATGTGAGGGCAAAGTAGATTGATTAATAGCAAAGAGATACAAGCTTTTATAAGAGTACAAGGAATATGAAGAGTTATAACTAATAACCGTTTTACTATTGCTGTTGCGGTTCGATACAGTGACGACTCGGGCAACTGCTCAATAGCGAGTCAGTTGTTTTTCCTTGCTGTCGCGCTGTACTTGTCAGGTCAAAGGTCGCTGACCTTTGACTTTCGCATAACCTCCAGCAGTTGTTCAACCTCTGAGGGTTGACTCGCTGATGCTTCGATATGTTCTGCTTCGCTTCTGACTTGGTGCTTCGACAAGACAGAGGCGCTTAAATCAATTGTTTCCAACAGTAGGAATACCGTAATAGAGTAAAGGGCACGGGTGAAGACAGGCAGGGCTGACGAAAGATCCCAGTGGACGAGTTGGGCATGTGGCGATTATGTAACAGCTGAAGGCCCAAAGTGGTAGTATGTGGTGCTGACTATTCAAGTGGTAGTATAGAAATATATCATTTCTCAATATTTGTTCTTAAGCTAACACACCTTTCTAGAACCTCTAGCCTCCATAATTTGCCTCCAGTTCTCCACGACCCTCGCTAAAATCACCTCTGCTAAAGCCCACAGCAAGTCCTCTAGTCCTCCAGTCCCCTACACGCAGTGAGCATCAACTGGACAAGCCATGCCAACAGTGGCGACAGCAGGAGGGAAATGAAAGGCCATGCAGTGGGGGTCGTGACTCAGGAGGGAGAGTGCGGGCAAGCACTCCCTGCATCACATCCAACACTAGATCATGCAAGCGCCATGTGAGGGGCCGGTCCATTCCCCAATGGCCTCTGCTCACCCCCTCACTACAATCACATCTGCCACGAAGCGCAGGCCCCTAGTGCCATTGACACAGTACAAGTCAACGAGAAACGCCACGTCCACTGTGGAGCCTGCTGGTAATGCAGCGGCCACCATGTGTGGGTCCACGGGCAGGTGCAGTTGGTGTGGGTCAGCGGGCAGGTGAAGATTCTGCAATGCAGGCAGTGACTGCTGGCTGCTGCTGTTAGTGGTGGTGGTGCCTGTGGGAGAGCTGGTGCTGGCAATGGCTGTGTTGGGAGCGGTTGTGTGCGGTGCAGCACAGGAGAAGTACTTGGTGCGCCACTCAGCATTCCCCCTCACACCGTCAGCTGCCAGCCTGGCAAGAGGCAGCCAGGGATGGGGACGAACAGGGGAGAGGAAGGGGGGAGGTGAAGGGGAGCAACGGGAGGAAGTTAAGGGGGTGTGGGCGGGGGAAGGGGTGGAAGACAGGGTTGGGGGGGGGAGGTGGGAGTCAACAGGGGGATGGGAGGGGGGAGTGTCAAAAGGGGAAGAGAGATACTGTAAGCAATGCCAAGTTGTGCGGCCAAACCGTCACACAGGCCAGTTAGAGCCTGGCTTTCCACCCCCCTCCCTCAGTCAGGACGCCCTCCCCAACCCACCCCCACTCACCCAGCCCCACCCCACCCCACTACACCCCTCAGGCCCAGACCCCTTGCCCTCCCCTCTTCTGGATTTACCGGTGCATCAATACCCGCACACCATGCACGGCATGGAATGACTCACGGAACCCACTAGGCCACACAAGCTCACAACTGGACAGCAACCAGAAACTCTACAACAGCCCCTCACCATCGCTCAACACTAGACTCACTTGACGCGGATCACTCTCATGCCGTCCTCCTCCCACGATGCCACAAAGGGCGATCGCACCTCCTCCCTGCACCCACCATCCCTCTCCTCCTCGCCTGCGCCCTCCACACGTCCTTCTTCCCCTCGTGCAGCAGCGCCCTCGCCACTCCCCACGCACGCCAGCAGAGCGTCGAAGCAAGCAGCGATGGCGGCAGCAGAGGCGGGCGAGATGGCGAGCAGCAGCGAGAAGGACGGGCGGCCCGTCGACTCGTCAAAGGCAAAGCGGTCCGACACACTGGTGAGAGGGGAGAGGGGGGACGAGTGGACGGGGGGACGGGAGGACGGAGAGGAGAGGGGGGAAGAGAGGGGAGACGGGCAGGAGAGGGGGAGAGGGGAGAAGGTCGGTCGACCTGTGGCCTCGTCGAAGGCAAAGCGGTCCGGCACACTGGTAGGAGGAGGGATGAGGAAAAACTGGGACTGAGATGATGGTCAGGGATGACGAAGAATGAAGGAATGCACGAGGGAGGAGAGAAAGAGGGAGGATGTAGATAGCAAGGCTGGTCATTCATTCATGTGCTTCACTTGGAGCCCTCTCAGCACCCATCAGGCACCCTCACACTGCTCCACTCTCCTCGTGGTTTCAACCACCGTGTTACAACCGGCCCCATCATTGCCACAGCTTCATTCTGTCATTTCAAACACCACAGAGGCAACGGGAGCGACTGTGCCTCGGTCTAGTCAGATTCTCTATTCAGTCTAATATCCCTTACAGAAACACTTATGAGCACTTGAGCCACGCACCTCATCTTGAGCCACGCACCTCATCTTGAGCCACGCACCTCATCTTGAGCCACGCACCTCATCTTGAGCCACGCACCTCATCTTGAGCCACGCACCTCATCTTGAGCCACGCACCTCATCTTGAGCCACGCACCTCATCTTGAGCCACGCACCTCATCTTGAGCCACGCACCTCATCTTGATCCTTGCACCGCACTCCCTCACGTGCAGCGACCGCCCGTTGTACAGCAGCAGCACACGTGCCGGTGCACTCTCCACCGCAAAACCACCACCAGCAGGAGCAATATCAGCAGCACCAGATGGTGCCTGTGGCGTGAAGCCATTCGGGTACACCCGAGCACTCCCTCCCCTCAAGCTGTACCGCCTGCCCCCTCCCCACCCGCTGCCTCTGCTGCTGTCGTTCCCCCCATTGCCAGCACCAGCAGCAGGCGGCGCGACCACAGCCTGCAGCCAGAAGGGGTCGAAGTGAGCACACGCGATGGGCCAGGAAGCCCCATCCTTGACGTGCTGCTCGTGACGCTGCTGCCACCATCCCGGGCACACCATGCACTCGCCCTCACATGCCTGGCTTTCCCCCACCTGCTCCTTCCTCCCGGCCTCCCCCTGTGCCTCGCCGCCCTCTCTGCTCTCCCCCGTGCCCAAAGGAATGCTCTCCGAGTGCTTCTCTTTCCCGTAGGACCTTGCTTGCTCATTATCACAATCCTCCCATTCCTCCTCTCCTTCCTCTTCCTCCTCTTCCTCCCCCACCACCTCCCCATCCTCAAGTTCCCCCTCAGCATCTCCCGCCTTCGAGTTGGCATGGCTGGCACCAGCAGCCAGATTTTGACACGTGGCAGCTGAGTCAATCTTCAAGGACTCTAACGCCTGACTCAGCAAAGCTGACGTGGCAGATACCAACACAGCCGATGATGCAGCAGCGCTAACAGCAGGAGAAGGAGCGCTGGGAGAGGATGCACCTGCTGCTGCTGCTGCTGTTGCTGCTGCTGCCTTTAATGTTGCTTCTGATGTTGCTGCTGATGTTGCTGCTGATGCTGCTCCTGCTGGGGATGGGACAGCTGGTGATACGTTCTCTGCTGCTGCTTTCACCGCCGCTGTTTTTTGTGTTGCTGGTGTTGCTGCTGCTACTGCATGAGCTGCGGAAGAATCTGCTGCCTTCACAGCTGCAGCTGCAGCATCGGTGTGCCGTGGGGGTGTCTTGCTGCGAGGCGGGGTGGAGGGCGCCTGGAAGAGAGTGGGGTGACACATCTCCTGCATTCAGAGGGCGGATGAAAGAGGAGAGGTGGATGGAAGGAAAGAGCGGGATAGAGAAAGTAAAGGATGCAGATGTGATGCAGGGAAAACAGTATACGAGAGATAGTCCAATGCGAAGATGCTTCGAGAACCGTTTTCACAACATTCCTCCAAGATTTCCAACCAAAAACATATTCGAATCTTGCTTACACATCAACCATCTTATAATTGCAGGCAACGTTCGAGTCTGGCAGGCCTCACAGAAAAAGGTCCTACCGAGAATTGAACTCGGCCTTTCAGATTCAGAGTCTGACGTCATAACCACTAGACCATAGGACCACAGATGAAACCAGCAAGGTTCTAATTCTTACAGTTTCTTTATGATTGGAACTCACAAATGAGTAGTGCATGTGAACCTGATAAGCCAACTGAGAGCACGGAATGGGAGCATGGTGATGAGTGCATATGAGCAGGCAGCAAGTCTGCATGCGAACATGGGAATTGACATGCCACGCCACCACAACAGCTCACCAGCATGAGCATGGCGGAGCACTGCTTGAAGACATCAATGTTCATCCGCACATCCTCCATCGCCCTGCCATGCCATGCCATGCCACGCCATGCCACGCCACGTAATCGATATTGGCAGCGCAAACGCAGCGAAGAGAGTCAACATAATCAATGCAATGAACCAAGTCAATGTCATCAACAGGACGAGCCCAAACAGGTATAGACGCAAACTGACAGCAGCAGCACCTTCGGGTCAGCTCATGCTATTCGAGTCTCTCACTCACAACTCACAACTCACGACTCACAACTCACAACTCATGACTCACAACTCATGACTCACAACTCATGACTCACGACTCACGACTCACGACTCATGACTCACGACTCATGACTCACGACTCACGACTCACAACTCATGACTCTAGACTCACAACTCATGACTCACAACTCATGACTCACAACTCATGACTCACAACTCATGACTCACGACTCATGACTCACGACTCACAACTCATGACTCTAGAGGTGAAACCTGCATCCGAACTCCACACAACCAGCCCAGAATTCCTGACCTTCACTGGCCTGGTTCAAATCAATCTATGGCTGACTCAGCTTGGCTCAACCCAACTCACAACTGACTCAGCGTGACCCAGGACCCACCTGTGCACTTGCATGCCCAGGCCACAGTAGGCTCCCAGCGATGCCATCTGTTGGGATGAAGGGGGGGTGGAGAAAACAAACAGACAAACCAGAAAAAGGGGAGTGCACCAAGAATCATGACGAGAAAATGATAGGAGGATAATAAGATGGGAAGACCTCATCAACAATAAGAGTGTTACACTTGATCGCAGTCCGATTGCCATTGCCAGCACTGACGCCTCCCCCTTCCCTCCTCCCCTCTCTAAACGGGATCAAGTCATACTTTCCCACTAATACAGCACACACATGCTGCTCCCTGACAGCCCCTCACACAAACACTTATTCTCGGCTGTGTGTGTGGCTCATACTTTGCGATAACCCACCCCCGTGACAGATCCCTGCAGCACATCACAGACACCCAGCACACCGCATCACAGACACCCAGCACACCGCTTCGCACCGCACGAGCTGACGAGTCTTGTCCACGTCTCACCTTGCCTGCTTTCATTGTCCCCTAGCCCTCACCTTCATGCTGACCCTTCACTTTCACCCCTCACCACCCTCACCTTCATTTTGCCAGCTCTCACATCCACCACGCCATCAGGAAGGAATGAGACATGGTAACATGTCCTCCAAGATGTGCTACTACCGCACCACCCTCACTGTCATTCATTTCATGCCACCACCTCTCATTCGCACAGCACACAGCACATCACACACAGGGCCCACCTTCATGTCGCAAGCTCTGGTGCCGAACTCCCTCGTCAGCACGTGGTACGTGTTCACAACGCCAGCTGGCACGGGCGGGGCCATGAGACATGCACGCCTACCCCCATTCGCTGCCCTCACCAACCCCACCCGCACCTTCATGTTGCCAGCTCTGGTGCCGAACTCCCGCCTCAGCAGGTCGTACGTGTCCACCACGCCAGCGGGCACGGGCGGCGCGCGGGCGAGGGCGCTGAAGGCCTCTCGGATGCGCGCGTTGTCGAAGCGGCTGATGTTGTGCCCCGCCCACACCTTGCCTGGCGACCAAACGAGCACGGAGAGGAGAGATATGAAGCACGAAGGTAAGGGGATATCAAGCTGATTAAATAAAGGATGACGCGAGGCGACGCGACCTTGAGACGCCTAATCATGTGGTTCATGCCTTAGAGAAATAGCACGATCGGGTGGGGAGCGGAGCGGGGATGCGTGACCGATGAAAGTGACTGCGATAAACCAGGACGAAAAGCGATGCAAGAGGTGACGTCACCAATACGCACCGTCCATGAGTTCATAAATCCTATCCGCCACTTCGCCGAAACTCGGCGCGTTGCGAACCGTGTCGCTCGTGATTCCGTTAATCTCCACCGTCCGTCGCGAGATACGGACTCCATCCGGCGGCCGCAGGTACGTCGAGTAGCTCGAAGTTTCGTAGAAACCCTCGATTTCGAGCTCTACGACGGCAAATTCGAGCATTGCATGCTTCTCGCCTCGCGCGGCCGGCACGGTCGTCTCGACGTCGTAAAACACTATCGCGCGCCGCCTCGCGCTCGAACTCGCGCCGGCACGCGAGGGAGAGGTGGAGAGAGATGGCGCCATGTACGCAGGGAGAATGAGTCACGGGGTATGCGAAGAAACGACGGGGTATGTGAACAACGAGAAGACGAGGAGGATGTGAGGACTAGACGGGTGTACGTATCGAAGGGTTCTAATTGTAGACTGGGTCGAACGAGGGGACGCGAAGCAGAGGCGTGATGCTGGGAGGCGAGGGCGTGGACGCGCATGGTTGCGAGAAACACGGCCGGGACTCGGACTAAAATTAAAGGGTAAAGATGCCACGCAAATTTGGCGGGGAGCGAAGATAGGCCAGGGTGATGATGGGCCAGAATGCGACTTCAGGTTGACGCGAGCCTCGGATGTGGCTCGGTGTGGCTAACACAGCAGCACAGCCGAAGCACGCCCAAACCAACCAAATGGACTCCGAACCAGAATCTTCACGGCTTGGCGGGAAAGCACCAAGGCACCACAAACCCCTCCAAGGTCCCGACCGTGTCGGAGGTTTTGTCAAGAAGCACAGCGCACCTCTGAAACCAGCAGCACCGCGCTGAATATTCTACAAACGGCTTCGCTACTCACGACCTCGACTTGGCGTGTTCAGCTTGGTTTGGGTCCCGGCTTCTTTTGTGTAACAACACGTAAATTCTTTTATTGTTTGGGTGTTGTAATAAATATCTTAGGTTGCAAGGCAACATCGTATCCAATTATTGATTAGTACGGTACTCGAGGCGAAGCAGGTCCATTGGTTGTACAAAAGTGGCAGTAAATGCCCTCTTTCCCAAGGGATTACCTTCTGCAGCAAGCCACAGGGATTGAGCACTGTTTGAAGACTAGGTAAGAACAAACGATACATTCCAACGCTGATTCTAAGAAGCAGCTCAATCCCAAACCCAAACCCTACACATGCTCCTAGATTCTGGCGCTCATGATGACTTAATAACCTGCTGCGCTGCTCTAGTTGCGGTAGCGGATGCCAAAGTGGAAGCGAGGGATCTTCTGGTCGTTGGACGCGTACTCGAGGCACAGAGGGCCCAGCGGAGAGTCCACTCGCACCCCCCCGCCCAGCCCAAAGCCCCTCCCTGGCTTGCCCCGTGCCCCTGCTGGGTAGCCTGGGAAAGGGAGAAAAGATCCGACGAGGAAAAACTGTACGTGCCAATAAAAACTTGAGAGAATGCGAGTTGTGCATGTGCACAGGCGGGGACGATGAAAGCAGAGTTGTAAGAAAGAGTGCGCGTCTCTTACACCAGCTGTGCTCGAATCAAATCCAGCAGCCGATCTCCCTAACTAACCGCCAACCAAAACAAGAAAGCAGAACTGTGCCCAACGCTACACCGTACCTAGCACAGTGGCGCCCGAGCCTAGATCCGTGCCATAGTCGGCAAAGAAAGCACCCTCCAGTGGGCCGAACTGCAGGTGGCGTGGAGGGAAGGGGGGAAGTGGGTGAGTGGAGAGGTGGGCCCATGATGGGAAAGGCGTGACCTTGCTGCTGTGAGAAGAGCCGCCAGCATTGCACATGGTGGCTGCAAGTGCAGTTGGCATATATAATCTGGGAACAAGAGAAAAAGAGCTCATGCGCAATGAACACGCGAGCCGGCCCCTGGTGGGTGGGTGAGAGTGGGGATGCGCTGGTGGTACAGCAGACTGTGACAGAGAAGCTTCACCACCAACGGTAAAGGAGGAAAACAAGGGAGAGGAACAAAAAAACAAAGGCAGAGACGGAGACAGGAAACAAAGCACCAGGCTTGCATGGTCTCTTGCATTCATGTGCATGTGTGCTATGTGGACGCCCAGGGTCTAAAAGGCGAGGTACAGACGAGGTACGAGGCGAGCAACGAGGGGGCTACCATGGGGAAGGAGGTACCATGGGGAAGGAGGTACCATGGGGAAGGAGGTACCATGGGAAAGGAGATACCATGGGGAAGGAGGTACCATGGGGAAGGAGGTACCATGGGGAAGGAGATACCATGGGGAAGGAGATACCATGGGGAAGGAGATACCATGGGGAAGGAGATACTATGGGGAAGGAGATACCATGGGGAAGGAGATACCATGGGGAAGGAGATACCATGGGGAAGGAGATCTCCCCGCTGGTGACGATGTAGGATCGCCCCGACCCCACGGCGCCCTCGTCGTATCCGCGCACGTTGTTGGTGCCGCCGATGGGGAACGCCTCGTGTGGCGCCAGGTCGCCCACCACCGTGCCGCCTGAGAAGCTGATGGCGTGAGGTAGGGGCAAAGGGGGAGGAGGGGTGTGTGAGGGTTGAGGGTGGAGGCTTGAGATGCCTCACAAGCTGATGGGGAACGCCTCGTGCGGCGCCAGGTCGCCCACCACTGTGCCGCCTGAGATACTGGTGACGAGGGGAAGGAGAAAGGGGGGGGGGGGGGGGGGGGGGGGGGAGTGGTGGTGAGGGAGGTGGGTGAGGGTGAGGGTGGCGATTTGAATGTCTCAAAAGGCGATGGGGAACGCCTCGTGCGGCGCCAGGTCGCCCACCACCGTGCCGCCTGAGAAACCGGTGACGAGGCATGGGCGACGCGTTAAGTGATGAAGATGTGCTCTACGCACAAGCCCATGGGATAATAACGGAGAAAAAAACCATCGCAGGATAGGGAGAGGAGTGTGGGAGGGGAAAGAGCCGGTAGCGTCGTGCGGGGGGGATCGGATAAGGGTGAAAGAAAACAGTACGGCACGGAATAGTGCCAGCTACAGTTACAGACAGTACGGTAAAGAAAAGTGCCAGCTTGAGTCCATGGCCATGCAGTCAAGCGCACCCACTCCGCTAGAAGTGGCTCCACATGCCACAAACCCCCCGCTAATGCCCCCTCCCCCCTCCCCACCTGCCAATGAGGCGAGCGTGGCCGATCCTGAATCCGTTGCCGTTTGAGACAACCCAAAAGGTGACTTGAGGCAACTCTTGAGTCGACCCAAAAGACCCAACTGCCGATGAGGCGTGCATGGCCAATCCTGAAGCCGTTGCGCGCGCGGGCATTGATGCGGTTGAAGAAGAGCCAGTCGGGCGCAATGGGGATGGCCTGCTCCGTGCTCAGCACGAGCTGGGGAAGGGAAGAGGGGGGAGAGGGACAGGGGGGTAGGGGGAGACCGGGAAGAGGCTAATGGGCGATGGAGATTGCCTGCTCCATGCTCAACACGATCTGAGGAAGGGCGGTGGGGGGGAGGGGGGTGGAAGTTTGAAGGGAAGGGAGACGAGACGGGGGAAGATTGGGTAGCTCGCGAGGGGTGAGAAGCAATGGGAGGGGAGGAGGGGGTGAGAAGCAATGGGAGGAGAGGAGGGGGTGAGAAGTAATGGGAGGGGAGGAGGGGGTGAGAAGCGACGGGAGGGGAGGAGGGAGTGAGAAGTGACGGGAGGGGAGGAGGGAGTGAGAAGCGACGGGAGGGGAGGAGGGGGTGAGAAGCGACGGGAGGGGAGGAGGGAGTGAGAAGCGACGGGAGGAGAGGAGGAAGTGAGAAGCGACGGGAGGGGAGGAGGAGGGGGATGGGTGCGGGCAAGCAGGCGATGGGGGTGGCCTACTCTGTTCATGAACCGAAAACAGGCCGAAAACGGGGAAGAGGGGGGGAAAGCACGGTACGGCAGTTTGGAAGGGTTTGAAGGGTGAGAGTGGGTGCAGTCAGGTGGGCGATGGGGATCGCCTGCCTCGTGCTCAGCAGCAGCTGCCATCCCCTCGGGGAGGAGAAGAGAGATGCGGGAGAGATATGGGGGGAGAGTAGAGAATGGATGAGGAGAGTTATGGGCTGAGAATGGATAGGGAGGGAGGTGGGGGGCGAGAAGGGACTGGAAGTTTGGAAGGTGAGATTGCCTCAGCAGGTGCATTCCAACTCAGATACACCCCCCCACTGTCCCTTCACCCTTACATGCGTACCTGGGAGGAGGCGTATCTGCGAGGAGGCGTACCTGCGAGGAGGCGTATCTGCGAGGAGGCGTACCTGTGAGGAGGCATACAGGTGAGGAGGCGTACCTGCGAGGAGGCGTACCTGCGAGGAGGCGTACCTGCGAGGAGGCGTACCCGTGAGGAGGCGGCGTACCTGTGAGGAGGCGTACCTGTGAGGAGGCGTACCCGTGAGGAGGCGTACCTGTGAGGAGGCGTACCTGTGAGGAGGCGTTATCTCCTGAGTCGGTGTAGACGGTCTCCAGCTTGGCTATCAGCATGTCGTCCGATGCCCGCCCACTGGGGGGGAAGGGAGGATTGGATTGGAAGATGGGGATACGAGGGAGGGCGGGGAGGAGGGGAATATGGGATACGGGTGAGAAAACAGTCTCCAGCTTGGTTATGAGCATTTCTTCTGACGCCCGGCCACTGGGGGGGGAGGAGGGGAGGGGAGAAAGGATGGGGGTTATGGAGAGAATACCTGGGAAGGCTAAGTAAGAATAAGTGGCCGAGAATGAGTAGCAGCGGACATTGTAATTTGATTCGGAGCAAGGAGCGCCTCAAGGTAAAAGCACCCTCGGTTACGAAAGAACGACGAGGTCATGTAACATATGAATGAACCTAAGAGAACAAGCCACGTTGTGAGGCAAACGTACGTGAAGTCAAAAGAGTCACCTGAAGGTGAGCAGCCCCTGAGGAATCACCTGAAGGTGAGCGGGCTGCCATAGGCATCACCGGGCTTGGGGTGGCCGTGGTCGTCCCTCGCCCCCGCCCTCTGTGCGTGGCAGGGACGGAAGGAGTGGGGTGTATGGAGATGGGTGGTTGTGAGAGGTGAGAAGGAAAGGGAGGCAGTGAAGAAAGTGGGGGAAGCGCAACGAGAGGAGTGTGAGTTTGATAAACCAATTGGCTTCATAAGAAGCTGAATAAGCATTGCAGCGGAGCAGCTCAATCCATGGATACACCTGCAGGTTGAGCCCAGCTGTAGCACGCACCTGCAGGTTGAGCCCGGTTGTAGCACGCACCTGCAGGTTGAGCCC